TGTGTGTGTGTGTCTGTGTGTGTGTGTGTGTGTGTGCTTTAACTCATTTTCCTGATGTTGATTCTTTCTCCACCTCTAGCTGCTGTGCCCCTCCCTCCGCCAGCAGAGGACAGCTTTGTACCAGGTCAGTTAAACAACCAGGCGGGTTTAAAAAAAGGTTTCTTATTCTTCTCGAGCGGGTGGAGGTTTAAAGATGGAGGTGAAAGGGAGGATATATGGGACAGATGGTGATGAAGATGATGGAGCTTGTGTATGGAGGTCCTTCAAAAATGCCCCGAAATGGAAAACTGTCCTTTTTCCTCAAACTAGCTGACAGCATGTGGAGACCCAGAAATGAGATGATTGATAAACTGAGAGGATCGATTAGTGAATCGTGTCCAGATTAAGGAACGGAGCGAATCTGTTGTCAGGTCTTCAAACTCGTGAAGGAATCATTTTGAGTTAAAGCAGCTGAAACATCAAAAGTTTACTTCTTAAACTTCATAATGAAGGAAAGTGTGATTGATCTAAACGAGTACGTTTCATTCGGCCAGCTTACATAAATGTGACATTTCACTCTGTACTTACTTTCCTGGATGTAATTAGATTACTTAAAGTATTTTGGGCATGTGTGACCACGTGATCACGAACAATCATAGTGACGTCTGTGTCTTTGTTTGTCGTAGATGATCCTCGGGAAAGCATCGGTCCTTACGGTGAGCGGCCTCTGTCTCTCTGTGATGTCACTAAACGTTACTTCCTGTTAATCGCTCTTTTTCTCGTCCTCTTCTTCAGGAGATGAAGCCAACACGATTGACACCACTGGAGGTGAGACAGCAGCATGTGAGGGCAGAAACCACGTTGGTTGGAAGTTTGTGGTAAATGATAAAGACGATGATGATGGTGGTTTTGTTTCCTGTTGCAGTTCTGCTGGCCGAGCGTCAGACTGAGGAGAGCTCCGGTGAGTCAGGCTCAGATTACTGCTTCTACTCATATGTGCATGTTTTAGCGTTCAGCCTCTTCTCATGTGTGCTGATGTTCCTCCGTGTGGTGAGGATGTTGTTTCAGGGAGGCCCGATGGAGCCGTCCTGCTTTACTCTGATTGTTTGATTCCTCAAAGTGTCTCCAAGACGGAGATCTCAGAGATCCCTGTATGAAAGAAAGTGTGCGAGATCGAGTTTGATGTCTTCTCTTTGATAGGAAGTATTGTCTGTAATAAGCGATCCGTTATTTAATGTCATGAAATGAGATTAACGTGTTTGTCCACAGCTCTGACACTGTGGAGTGTGTCATGCGTGAATCTGAATCACTGACTTTCTGTCCTTCAGTGGAGTTTGCAGAATACGTGACGAGCTCCAAGCTGACACAGGAAGCAGGTATCTGCAGCACAGGCTTCAGCCTGAAACACTCACTACAGGTTATTTTTACTCTGATAGACGATGTTGTGTTTTCACACACACCACTGAGTGTTTTGCTTGACTGTGACCCACATTTCCCGTATGTCTGGGGTAAAAACACCTACGTGTTTTTCTCTTTTGCATCTGGCACAAACTCTCTGCATCTCATGAGCAGCTTTTCCTCTTTCTGGGCCAACACATTTGTCAGTGACACAGCTGAGCTGAAGTGGCCCAGATGAAGACTCAGTGTGTCTGCAGCCGCTTTCTGTATTTAATCAGCATCTGAATAATTGGCCAAATTAAACAAAGCGCCTCTTCAAACAGACGCAGTGAAGGAGCTGGAAGTTACACATCATGACCAGTATGGGGCTTGAACCCACGACCGTGGCGTTATTAGCACCACACGCTAACCAGCTGAGCTAACTGGCCACTGCTCTGTGCTCGAACACTACCTGTGGAAATGTCCAGTGTGACTGTTTAACCTGATGACATGACGCTGTTCACCGATCGGGTCGTTTATCAGAATCAGGATACTTTATTGATCCCAGAGGACGTGATGTGGTCGCAGTCGCTCCAGGACAGTCGGAGCAGTAACGGACTCAACTAATAGTTTCGTTAAAGTTACAAAATATATACAAATAGCTCAGTTATAAATATCCAGAATATTACAGAGATTAAATATATATGATTAACATTTCACTCTATTACTGGCCTTGTTGATCAGTCTATTCAGTCTGTTGGCATCTGCGACCCTCAACCTGCTGCCCCAGCATGCAACACAGCGGTCCCCAACCCCCGGGTCACGGACTGGGACCGGGCCGTGAGAGCTGATCCGGGTGTAAAATTTATGGTTTTTATGGTTTCCATCGTTAACTCGGTTTCCCTGGGTCTTTTCCCGTGTTGTAGTCGTGTGTCTTATTTTGAAAGAAATATTTACGTGTTACCATAGCGACCAGAGAGCATTAAGGGGCAGAGAGGAGGATGTTCCTCTCATGTTGTTGGTGCATTTCAGGAGGACGCTGCTAATAAAGTTACACAGTGAATTCATGTTTATTATTATCTTTACAAAATACCAGGTTCTGTCGTATCGTTTTATTTTGTTGCACCTTAGTGGTCGGTCTGTGAAAATATTGTCAGACATTAAACCGTCCGTGGAGCAAAAAAGGTCGGGGACCGCTGACATCGAGGATAGCATTGGCCACAACAGACTCATAGAAAATCCTGAGCTTTGTCCGACAGATGCTGAAGGACCTCAACCGCCTCAGAAAATACAGACGACTCAGTAACCCAGTCCGGTTTAATCCGAGGAATTTATATGCAAATGTCACATGGTCCTCCTAAAGCTCACAAATTCATAAACAAATTTGTCCTGAAACTGTGTCAGCTGGGATAGACTCCAGCCTCTGCAACCCTGAACTGGATGGATGGATGGATGGATGGATGGATGGATGGATGGA